CCCGTTTTTGGACAAGATGGCGCATGATTTCAAAGAGAAGCTTGCCTCTCTGGGTTGCGAAAAGGAGGACAAGCCCCCCAAGATATATTTCAGCGATGCCAACAGCAAGGACCTCGAGAACAGTGACGAAGACGACCTGCACCCACCTAAAAGAGGGCGCCTGTATTAAAAATGAAGGAGGTGGGGGCCTTTGGTTTATTATATATAAGAAGGATAGCGGTTCGGGTATGTATTTGACAACTGACAGCCTTAACAAATAAAGAAAACAACTGGCGGCAACTACTTAAAGAACATAACTAGCGATAAACTAACTAAGTGATATAACTAGCAATAAACTGACTAAACGATATACCTAACGATGAAACAAAGAAAGAACAAAAACACCAGCAACCTCGCGCGCCGTGTAAAAATATGACGAGCGTCACTCGAGTGGTTCCCGCGGTCCTCTGAGAGATATTGCATAATGGCATAAAAGATCTTCAAAACTGATTGAATAGATTAAAAGTCCTGAAATAAGTGACACACTTCAAAAGATGTCTGGCCTTGGTCTGTTGTGTTTTTTTTTTGTCTGTCTTATTTGGAGTAAAACTATCAAGAACGGGCGCAGTGCCTGGTAAGGTCTTAACCATAAAACTGACCTGCACCATGATAAACATTGAGCGAAGTCCGTAAAGCAAATGAATTAAGTAAAAAAACGAGAAACAAAGAGGACCCGCAGGAACTATTCGCGAAAGAGTGACCACGTCAAAAGCGCGCAGGTGTGCCGGTGTTCGTCAAGTAAATAGAAACGAGATAAGCAACAAGATCGACAAAACAAAACCTAAGGCATCTGATTCAACTGAGTCCACAAGTGTGAGAATGATCTCGCGCATTTTGTTAATAAAATTTCTTTCAAGGGTTTCGTGGCTTCAAGGTTAAAAGGGCCGAGATTTGGTCTTGTTTTTCCCCTTTGATTCCTGCGACCAAGTAAATTGCTCATAAGTCGTAGCAGCCTTGTAGCTTGCTCTAGCGCGTTTGTTTACATAGAAAACATCAGAAGCCGTGTAGCTTGTTTATCTAGTGCATTCGTGTCTTGCTTATAGTAATTCTCAACATTTCGTAGCAATTTTGGATCATTCGACTCAAATTCCGTAACTTCTGTAATTTGTATTCACTAAAGCAGGTGAGTGGGTATTACCCTAATAGATAGTAGCTATTAGGTTTGAAGTTTTCTCTCGATCCTTCTGGTGCTAGTGTGTTGAAATCCTTCTAGTAAAATTTTCCGTGACTAGTTTGACCCGCTTAGAACGCTCGCGAAAGATCGTTAGGGCTATAGAAACTTGACCCGGAGAAGGAAGGAAGGCTGACGGCCGTGGACTTCATAGTAACCACGTTAATAATAGCTATGCTTCAAACATCCAACCGACTAGCCGTATGCAGTTCCTTGATTAGCGTAAAGTCCTTTATTGGTACTATGCTTCTCGTGTCCGTTTTTGTTTGAGTAGGTTGGTCTGCTCCTTTAAATTCAGAAACATTATCGACCTTTCAGCCCGTGTAGCTATTCAGGTCCGTCGTCCGTCTGCATTTTCCAGGATTGCCTGGTCTCCTTCTAGTGTATTAGATTCCATCCATTTGGGTGCTTGTTTCTCTGTTCTTTTGGTCGATCGTGTGTCGGCTAGTTAATTAAGCTCGAGCACCGCGTCAAGCTGATGCGTTTGGCTGCTCTTATACAAACCTGAGCAAACATTTTCCGAAATCTTCCGTGACTCTTTTGAATCATGCCAAAGATAAAACGTGACTAAGTCAGTTACAGCGCGATGGCGGTCGTGTAGTGGCCCGGCCTTGTTCTCTGCAGCTCGCTACGTTAGTATAGAAATGGTCCGACGGGTCTGCCCCTATTTGATAAATAGGCTAAAGTAGAGCTTCCCTTGAATTATTTAAGTACGCGACTAAGTAAGACTATACCTAACAAACAAGATGACCTCATCCGACGGAGAATATTCCACCGCGCCACGTGTGCGCAGAATGGCCCACCGCGGTCGACGTGCAACAAATGAAGAAGATCCGTACGAATTGGGTGACCCTTCAGGCGGTGCCGGTGTGTTGTTCACGAACGCGATCACCGCCGAGGAGGCAGCCGATGGCTTTGATCTGCATAGTAACGCAAACAGTGAGCCGCTAGACGATGCCGACCCTGCTGGTGACTTCAACGAAGCTGAAACACGCCGGGAATTAGCCGAAGGGCTTGCAACTGCTGACAACCAAACTGAAGCACTCCTAGGGGCGCCACCTGTCATCCATAACCAGGGCAGACATGCCGAGCAGATAAATCATCAGGACCGGACGCACCCCAGTAGTGGCGCGGCCGATCTGGTCCACAACAACAGCACCAACCCCGCTGGTTCCCATCCAGGCGGCCGATCCGCTTCTTTGCCGCCTTCCCTCCCCTCGTCCCGGGGTGGCCAACTGGACGGCCCCGGAACCCCCTGCGGTGCGACTCCCTCCCCCCGTCCCCCTTCGGGACGGCAGGGCAGCGCCCAGGACGAACAATATTTGGGAATATTTGGAGAATATTTGGGAATATTTGCCAAATATTTGCGAAATTTTTTTGAGTGCGGGAATAGTTTCCGCGTGAATATTTTGCAATAAGATGAAAAACTGCGCATGCAGTTCATACCATGCGGGAATCAAACTGCATAAGGTGCCCCGGACACCTCGCGAAACTCTTAATGCCTCGGGCAATTGTATCAAAATAAAGCGGCGCGAGTGTCACTAAGCGGCCATTTGCAGCCGAATAATTATCTTGCCTTCAAACGACCACATTATTTATTTTCTTACTCCTATGGTCGCTAAGACCTAAGATGGATCAAAACCAAGCATGAGGATAGTATTGTTTTCCGTTCAGGTCCTGCCCCAATCGGGGGTCAGGCCTCTTCCTTGTTTGGGCTTTGACGTTCTTGTTTGCTCGCCAACTTGTGGCGCCTCTCGTTTCGTGTCACTCTGTGCAAAAGGAGGGACACGACATCAAACCTTTACTTTTCTCTTTCCTCAACCTCTACGTTCTTCCTGACAGTTGGAACCGCTGAAGGCGGACCAAATTATGACTAAACCGAGTCAAAATAAATGGCGCATTTATTGTGGATTTGTCTTCTCTCTGGACTCCCCCTCGTAAATTGGGTGGTCCCTAATTTACGACTACTATGGTGATCAAGCATAGGTGGAGGATGTGAGAAAAAACTTGGGAAGACGTTATAAACTCAATCTATTCTGTTGTAGGTTTGTGTTAACCAGGAATAGAATTTTAAGAAGAATTTTGTATTTGAAATACTAAACTTCCGCTCGAAAAACTAGATTTGAAGCAAGGTGTTCAAACTTTAATGAACCAAAAACCGTTGGTGGGAAAACTTTAGTTCTTGTCTGTTTAACGCCCGAGGGGCCTGTACATGGGACTTTAAGGGCTGCCCTAGTTGGAATGTTCATCGACTTTGCGATGTCAAAACTTGAAGAGAACTTACTGAAAAACGATAATGGATAAATAAACATACTACGACAGAGAGACACTCACCAAGAAAAGAGACCAAAAATATGAATTACGGGGGTAGCTCTCCCCTTAAACAGTCGGAAACGTTGCTTGTGTTAAGTTTAGTCACAAAAACATGCGGAAGCTTATTTGCTGCGACTTAACACAAGGCCCGGATAACGAAAGCTAAGTTCTATGAGCTTGGTGTTAAGTACTGCGGAATTGTTGGCCTAGTCACTTTTCGCCTCGAGTTAACACAACAAGACGAGGCCCCAGCCTGTGTTTAGTTGACGTAGATTGCGTCTAGCCGCGTTATCTGGTGAAACTAAACACATGAGAGAAACTAAGCTAGAACCTCTCTCCCTCCTCGCGGGAGGGTCACCAAAATCGTTTAGACCATGCTGTACTGCTCCAGCTTGGTCGGCAAAGACCACTTGAAGCCCGGGATCTTGCTCTGCTCTAACGCTTTCCTTCGTGCGCGTCTAATCGCATCGAAGTTACGGCCGACGAGGTCGGTCACGTCTTCAACGCTGTTTGCTTTCACATTTCCCAGCTGAAAAATTCCCATCGCTTCTGCATGTCTGTTGAAGTCCTCTTGCGGTAGGATCTTCGTGAGGATATCCGAACTGTTCGAATGCGTATCGATCCTCGATAGGAATCTATTGTGCTGGTGTTGTACTCGTTGTCGGACGAAGAGGCCGTTGACCGCCATGCCTCTGCTCTTGCGCGACAATCCTGCTCCTGCAATAACATGCTGTGCCGCTGTGTTGTCCCCTGAGACAACGCTAAAACCGGACGGCACTAGGCCTAAGGGCTCGCCCGCGTCATAGACGTGCTCACCAAAACGCGCTTCGCCAATCTCAACGAGAGACTCTGTTGTGTTTTCGTGCACTCGCACCGCAATAGCCCCGGTGGCCAACTCAGCTTCAGCCGCACTCGCGCACGTGATGGTAATGCGAGCCGAAAGCGCGTTGACCATGCTGCCCCGGTAGAGCGACTCGACGCCGCCGTGGCTGCATTTTGCCGAGAAGGATGCGTCATAGAGCGTCTGTAGGGTAGCACGTTCTTGCTCGTGTCCGCTCTCGTGCTCGGTGTCCGTGGCTTGTCCTGGTGTTAGGTCTAAACGCCACTTGTTGTTCGCAACGAAACTTGAAAAACCCTCTGCCGCCGTCATTGTGCATTTGTACGGAGGTGCTGACGCCAATGCGCGAATTGGAAACAACAGGTGCGGGCCTGTCAGCATGAGGAACTGACTGGAACCGCTTGCCACCATTTTCTTCTTTAGGTTTTGCGGGGTGGTCTGCTCTTCTGCTGCAAATGCCAGGGCGCATTCCTCAGTCAGTGTTGCTCTAACTGGGGTTTTCGGAATCTTAACTCCCTGGTCGGGGTACTTGCTCGTCAAGTACTGCAACTGGCTGTGCACTAGCAGCGGCGGGCTCAGACAGGTGGTGATCTCAATGCCTCGAAGTTCCACTGTCGTGAGCTCGACCACGCCGTAGTCCTCCGTCTCGTAACTCTTAGTTACCCTGTTGCCCTCTTTCAGCTTGATCTGGCTTTCCAGGCCGGCCAACTGTTGGGGCCAGTCGTCTCCGGACTTGATCAAGCTGTCGCCAACGTGCGTAAGCGCCATGGAGCGCGTTCTGGACCATGGATAGCGCGGTAGTGGGCGATATGCCATGTCATCGCTGGATCGTTGTTCCTCCAGCTCGTGGACGTTGTGCTGCTCTCCGGGCACAGTGTAGGGGCCTAGCTTGAGCGAATCCTCGCGGAGAGACCTGTGCAGGCGCTGGCTTGCGAACTTGCTATCACGTTCTTTTTCGTAACACGCTGGCGCGCCGCGTACGCCGTTGATATTTCCCCGCAGCATCTGTTCCTTCGAAGTGCCGTCAGCCTGTTCCAGCGAAAACAGCGGAAACGGAAGTGCCTCGCAAAGCGGCATGTTCTTACCCGCTCCCTCAAAACGCCAGTCAAAGGTCGTATTGATGTACGCGCTTTCTTCATCGATCACGCCGACTTTCTGCCCCGCCAATAGCGAGGCGATGCTCAGCAATCGAATAGACTCAAGCGAAGGTGTGGATCCCGTTGCTCGGATCTTTGTGAAGACCTTCTCAGCCTGTGAACGCTGCACGACGTTCCACAGAATGACAAACCTGCACTTCACAAATTCTTGTCCGTTGGCGTGCTTCTTTGCTTTGTACAGGGCCTGCGCAATCGGCCGAACCGCTTTGCGCTCGCGGTAGACGTTCTTGTACTCCGGCGGTACCGGGACGAACGCTCCGCTTTCCGTGTGCTTGCTGTACTCTTTGTTCCACGCCTCCTCCATCGCTGCAAACCCGAAGCGCAACTCCAGCGCGCGTTTGCCCGAAAAGCCACGCCCCGTCGCGTCGTCGGCTGCTGCCTCGTGCGACAAGACGCTGTCCGCGTCTGGCTCACCGTCTGTTGTGTCGTCTAACGCCGCAAGGAAAACTTCTCCCGGCTCTCCGTGAAAGGCGCACGACGCCCAGAACGAGCCGTCCTGCACATAGATGTGCCCGTCCTGCCACGCGTACATCCCGTTCGGGAGGCTCGTTTCGCCGGATGGAAGATGATGCCGCATCTTCTCCGGCTGTAGGATTTCCTTCATCTCTGCCTTATCGTACGTGAGTCCGGCTGGCGGGATGTGCTGCGGCGTCGGCGCATCGTCGTATGCGCTAAACTTTGGCTTCCGAGGCAGAAACATGCCCGTGCCCGCAACTGGAGTGCCTGCTCCAGAGGCGGAAGACGCTGCGTCTGCCTTTTCCTCGCTCGCGAACGTGACTTTCTTGCCCGTGTCAACTTCCTCAAAAGCCATCTCCTCGCGAAGCGGCTGTAAGCGAGCGTCGATCTCGAGTCCGACCACAGAAACGGATGGATGTTTTGCTTCTTCGACGATGCGCACCGTGTTGCAATGGAATTCCTCCTCATCGTCTGTGATCAGGATGTGCGCGTGAAACCGCGAAAAACCGACCCAAGTGCCAAACACTCCTTTTCCGCTGATCTTTTCCGCTGTCGTCACGTTTCCGGACGCCGGAATGCCGTAGCATTTCGTTCCAAACGTAAGCGCATCCGCCAGCTTCAACACCTCGTGGGAGCCTTCTCCTTGCCACTCAGTCGGCGTCTTGGTCGTTCCGGAGCGGTGCTTTCGCTCCGTGCGCATTCGGACCCAAAAGAAATGCAGCATCGCTCTAATGCCGTAATTGGCGTCAACACCAGCCGAAAGAATCAATACTCGTGCGCCTGCAAGGGCCTGACCGAGTAGTGACTCAACGCCGCCGTGCGCTTTTCTGTGCGATCTGCTGCGCAGCATCCGGATGTCGTTTTCGCGCATCAAACCCAAAAGAGAGTTTGTGCCCGCTTCCCGCGGGTTGTCCGGGTACAAAAACTTCATCTTCTTCCAGCCGCGGCGAAGCCAATCGCGAAGGCCCTTCTCGAAGATGCCACCTTTGGTCTCTGCTTTGGTGCCTGCGCCTGCTTCGCTGCCGTAGTCGTACATCACGCAGACGTACTTCGACTCGTCAGCCGGGTCTTGGGGGTAGGGTCCGCCAACGTCTGCTGCGACAATGTGTGAGACCGTGCCCTCTGTGGTTGCGCACTCGTTTTGGATCGTGTGGATCACTTTTGCTTGCCCACGCGGATCTTGCTTTATCAGCCCTGCACGGCAACTAGCGCATCGCTTCGGGTCATGCGGGTAGTGCCCTCTTCGCGAATGCTCGTGGTACCAGAGCGCGTCCGCGTGGTTCAACGGCATAAGCGCCTGATAGGTTGGGCAGCTCAAAAGAAGACTGTCGACCGAAACCTCCCACACGATCTCAACGCGGTCTCCGAGGAGGGTGCTGTTGATTGACTCCCCCGTCTGCCAATCGAAGATCTGCGCGCGCGTTGGAATGCACTCCAACTGGTGATCTCGATTCAACGCAATGGTAGGCGAAAGGCAGCAAGAAAAATCGCCGCAAACGAAGTACACCGACCTCCACTTTGTCAGGCCTTGAGGCCGGATCTGTATGATCCCGTCGCCGTAAACCGTCACGCCCCCGTTCGCAGAGGCGGTGCCCCGCTTTTGTGGTCCGTCATATTCGCGGAAAATCGTGACCAGATGCTTCAGCTCCACCGGCAGCGCAAAAGTAGATGCTCCACTGTCGTCGATGGACGTAAACGTCGACGCGGAGGTCTGTCCGCCGAGTAACTCGTTGGTAGCCCTGAAAGCGGGTCCGTCGTGCGTGTGGACGACGTCTGCGGAAAGGTTCTTGCCAAAAAGCGGATCCTCGTTGGGCATTCGAGCCCGGCAATCCATCTCGCGAAATTGGCCGTACAGAGTAAACATTGTGTCCTCACGCTGTTTCCACTCTGCCTTTTCTTCTGGTGTTTCCTGAAACCCGTGTCCGCTGCTCGCGCCCAGCATGCAAAAATTGCCGAAAAGGCGCGTCATCGACGGGTGCTGTTGCGCGCCGCCCGTCGCTCCCGCGTTCAAATTGCGCTGAAGCTGCTGGTAGGCCTGCTGTGAACCGCTTGTTTGCGTCTGGGGCTGCTGGCCGCCCGGAGGCGCCATAGGTACCGCGCCGCTAGCCGGTGGCTGAAAGCCCGGTGGCTGCGACAAAGCGAATGCCGGGTTTGGTGGTTGTGTCGGAGGTAGCGACGGAGGCGCCGTTCCGTCGAGGGAACGGAAGTTCTGCTTGTGTTGTCCGCAGATGAAACACGCAGTCCGCGACGCGAAGTTCGTAGCTCCGCATTTGCACTGCCATCCGTTCGCTGCTAGCTCAGCGCGAGCTTCGCCTTTGCCTCCGCCTTTCTTACCGCCCTTTGCTCCCTTTCCTGCTTTGCCTTGTGCGCTATGCGTCGTCTTCGCAGCCGCCTTGGGCAAGTGTTGTTTTCGCAGGAAAGCCTTGGACTCGTCCAGTTTCAGCTTGTTTTTCTGTATCCGCTTTTGCGCTTCCTCAGATCGACCGTAGTCAAGTGCCGGACCGTAAGCGCACTCCGCATGAGGGATACGCGGGTGTGCGAATCCGCACCATCCACAAACAGGCTTTTCTTTTTCCTTCTCTTTCGCTTTGCCCGCACCCGACGAAGGTGGTGGTGGTGGTCCTCCCGGTGGGAATGCATGATAGCCATCGCCAGAAGAGGAACCGCTTCGGCTCCCCCCTGCCAAGTGCCGCGCAAGGTCGTCTGCCAGCTTCTCTTGCTGAGGGATGGTCTTAGCCGCGCGCAGACGCCGCGTTGCGTGCAAATCGCACATGCGAAGCCATTCTCGGATGGACGTCTCTGGTGAGACGTGGTGCGACATCCACTCCATCGTCGACGCGCTGCACCAGTCGGCCAGCATGCGAAAGATGCTTTTCGTTTCGCCCTTCGTTATTTCGCTATCCTCTAGCGTAAAGCTGACGCCCTCTGCGTTCTCCAAGATCGACTCTACGGTCTCCGTCACGTACTGGACGGCCGCGTAGTTCTCGTTCCATTTCGAAGAAGGCAAGCTGCCCAGCAGCGAGGAAAGACGGTGCTCACAGCCGTCGGCACTTCTGGCCACGTTCACTCCGTGCTTTTCGTAGATGCGCTTCTCGAGAGCAACGACGCAGGCCGCAAAGTCCTCCTCCTCGATCGGCTTCAGCTTCGTGTTGATGCCGCGCCACATCTCCTTGCCCACTCCAGCCAACATGCCGGATATCTGTGTCCAAGTCGTCTTTGCCCGCACGACTCCAGCGCGGTCTAGGACCTCGCGCATCTCGTGCCACTCTGCCGAGATCTGTGACGATTTTGACAGGTGAAAGCGCGCGCCAGGACCAATATCACGATGTAGACGTTCCGGCGGAGGGTTCGAAGACTTGTTTCTCTGTGGCACTGTCGTCCATCCTCCTGGGGTATCGTTTCCCCCATCATCCGGAGGCGGAGGTGGCCGCGGGGTCGTCTCCTCGCACACGTAGTTGTCGTCCTCATCCGGCTCTTCCTCGGCGTCCGGTAGTGGTAGTTTCGCAGCTGCAGCCAGCTCAGCGGCCCTAACGCGTTCTTCAAATTCCTCTGCCATTTGTTCACGCGCCGTTGCCTCCGCTTTCGCTGCCCTTTGCGCAGCCTCGCGTTGTTCTTCCGCTGCTTTTTGCGCCGCCTTACGCTGCTCTTCAGCAGCCTTCTGCGCCTGTTCCGCACGCGTGTTAGCCTCACGCGCCGTTGCCTCGACCGAAGCGAGCATCCGAGCCGCTTGTTCCGCCTGAAGCCGAGTACTGGCGTCTGCCGCGCTCCGCGCCTCAGCTCCCTGTAACGTCTGCTGTTGCAGCTGTGCGAGGAGCGACGCGTTCTGCGTCTGCATGTCCCGCATCATCGCGGCGTGCTGTTGCTGCTGGTGCAACATGGATTCCTGCTGCATCCGCATTTCCGCCTGAAACTGTGCTCGCATTTCCGCCATCTGCTCTGTCAGAGCAGTAACGGCCCTGTCCGTGACCGCTTGTGTAGCGTCCACACGCCCGCCGAGGCTTGCCACAGCAGCGTCCGTTGCTTGTTGTGTGTGCTGTACTTCTCCGTCGAGGCGTCTCACCGCCGCGTCCGTTGCTGCCTGCGTGTGTTCCACACGGTCATCGACCATTTGTACCGCGTCCGCAGCCGTCTGTTTGCCGTGTCGCACCTGCCTTACCGTCGCCTGAAAACCTGCTGCCACCGCCTGTGTGAAGCTCTCAGCCTCCTGACGCGTGACGAAGTCGGACGAAGAAGCGGATGCGACGTTGCTAACCGAAGACCCTGAAGCCGCCGTTGTCTGCGCAACAGCAGATGCACCGACCGCCGGTGACGTCGCTGCGCCCTTGATCGCCAGTGCGCCCGCACTCGCTGATCCTTTCTTTCCAGCCTTCGCTCCGTCAACCCTGGCTCTCTTGGCGGGAGAGGGGGTTGCTGTGCTCACTGCTATAGCTGGAGGAACTATCGTGCTTGCCGCCGGTGCTGGCGTCATCGCCACATCTGCGATCGCTGGCTGCCTCGCCGGGCTGAGTGGCCTGGGGAGCATCGGCGAATCCCGATCGGAATCCGCAAACGACATTGCGGCGTGTTTGCTCGTGTTAATTCGAGCCGATTAGACGTCCAGTCGCGTTTGTAGCTCGTGTTAACTCGAGCCGAATAGACGTCCAGTCGCGTTTGTAGCTCGTGTTAACTCGAGCCGCATAGACGTCCCGTCGCGCTTGTGCCTCGTGTTAACTCGAGCCGTGAAAGGGAGATGCAACACCACGCGTCCGCCGTCGCGTCTAAGTTCGGCCGAAATTGCCGAAAAAGTGCAAAAATCGAAATTTTTGTAGCCCCCCCTCCTGTAATTGGGGTCGCGATTTTTTGTTTTGGGCCTCAAAACGACGAAGGTCCGAAGCTGAAAACGTCGCTTCTGCGCCAAAATGGCGAACGGCTGCTGCTGGCAGCCGAAAATGACCGGAAATGACCGAAAAAACAGGGGTTTACTTTCGGTCGCGTCGTCGCCAAAACGCGGATTTTGCTGCTCGTGGCCGTGGTCGATCGGTTGCTGCTGGCAGCCGAAAATGACCGAATATGACCGAAAACGAAGAAGGTTGTGTTAACACCGACCAATTCGCCACTTGGCTGCTGGTGCAGCCTGTTTAAGCACGAGCTTCGCGGGCCGCTCGTGTTAACTCGCACCAGATAGACAGTCGGCTTTCGGTTCCGGCCGTCTAAACACGAGTCTGACTGCTCGCGTTAACTTGAATCAAATAGACAATCGGCTGTCGATGCCGGCCGTCTAAACACGAGCTTCGCCCGTGTCAACCTGAACCAAGTAGACGCCTGCTTGTTGTTGCAGGTCGTCTATACACGGCTCCGGAGTTGCGCCATCTTTTGCCCTGGCGTTGGGCTCATAACTTCAAGCGACCACATTATTTATTTTCTTACTCCTATGGTCGCTAAGACCTAAGATGGATCAAAACCAAGCATGGGGATAGTATTGCTTTCCGTTCAGGTCCTGCCCCAATCGGGGGTCAGGCCTCTTCCTTGTTTGGGCTTTGGCGTTCTTGTTTGCTCGCCAACTTGTGGCGCCTCTCGTTTCGTGTCACTCTGTGCAAAAGGAGGGACACGACGTCAAGCCTTTACTTTTCTCTTTCCTCAACCTCTACGCTCTTCCTGACAGTTGGAACCGCTGAAGGCGGTCCAAATTATGACTAAACCGAGTCAAAATAAATGGCGCATTTATTGTGGATTTGTCTTCTCTCTGGATTGCCCCCACTAGATTCCGCGAGGAATGAGATCGGTTGGCAATGTTAAGCCGCTGCTTTATTTCGGCCGTTTTTGTTTTTTGTTCTTCTGGTTTTCGAAGTCGGGCTTTTCTGTTTGTTGTTTTTAATTAGCTTCTCGGGCGGCTTCGGCGTCCGATTAAAGCCACTGGCGCGGCTTTTTTTTGTTCCATTTGCCCGAGGGTTTTGATTCTTTCGCATTTTATCAAAAAAAGCAGCTTTTTGCGTCAGCCGTCCACCCGTCTGCAATAATTCGACGCGGCTGACACCTTCCCCCCGGAGTATGTATTTTCCAGCCGAGCAGCCGGCTAATTTTTAAAAAAATAAAGAAAGGGCTTTTCTTTATTTTTTTAGAAAATAGCCGGCTGCTCGGCTGGAAAATACATACTCCGGGGGGGAAGGTGTCAGCCGCGTCGAGTTTTAGAGTGTGGAGCAGATGGCTGGATAATTCAAAAATAGTCACTTTTTGGCATTTTTTGACATGAAACAGCACTGGTAAAAATTATTGGCGGCCTCATTTTCAAGAGGAAAACTTGCAAAAATGACGAAAAAAAGGCTCTTTTTTTTCTAGCCCCCACGGGTATAAATTCCCAGCTAAATCACTCCCCTCTAGTAATTGACCACAAAAACGTGGAAAAAGTGCACCTTTTTCCAATCCCCACTGGAATAAATTCGCAGCCCAAGCGCTCCCCTCTAGTAATTGAGCCGCAAACAGTGGAAAGAGTTCCGCTCTTTCTAATCGCCACTGGAATAAGTTCACAGCTCGGGCGCTCCCCTCCAGTAATTGAGCCGCAAACAGTGGAGAGCTTTCCTTTTTTTCTAAAACCTACGGGAATCAATTCACAGCCCAAGCACTCCCCCCCCCAGTAATTGAGCCAAAAAAGTGGAAAGCGCTCAGCCTTTTCCGGTCCCCAATGAAAAAGGCCCACAGTCCAAGCCCTTCCCTCTAGATTCTGTGCGGAAAAAGTTGGGAGCAGCTTTCTGGTCCCCTATGAGGTGAATTTATAGCCCACGCTCTCCCGTCTAGATTCTGGGAAGAAAAGGCGGGAGGAGTATTCTTTTCTCAGTCCTCTCTGAAACAGATCCGCAGCCAGGTCCCTTCCCTCTAGCTAGATCCTGAGCCAAAAAAGTTGAGACTTGTTTTGCTTTTTTATCTCAAATGAAAAAAGTCCCCAGCTCTAGAGCCCGGCCCCCCTCTAGATTCTGAGCCGAAAAAGCTGAGCGGGGTGCTCTTCTTTTATGGTCTCCACTGAAATGAATCCGCTGCCTTATTTTGCTACCTTATGAATTGCCACCGACAGGCCACGCGCGTAGCCTGGTAGCCTGTCACTACGCCACCCGCGACACGCGGCAAGGTATGCCAAGGAATGCAGGGACACCGCAGGCGACCGCTGCGCGGAGGAATGGCCTCCGCAGCGAATAGCACCCACATCGAAGAGGACCTGCGCCGGAGACCTACCAAAGCGAGCCAAGGCCTTGAAGAGGTCCCGACGTTTGTGGTAGAGACTTTCAATCTGTTTCAAGCTTCTCCAAAATGATAGACGGACATGTATGAAATTTGTCAAATTTGACCAGTTTGGGCGAGCTCTTGCTGGCTTCCGCTTGTTCCATTCCTTGGGTGGGTCTCTCTCAGAAGATTCGCCCACGGTGTTCCCTGCTCTCAAGTCCTGAAGGCTGCGCCATCGGTCAAGCTAAGAAAAAGCCGCACCACGACACCGCCAAGCGCACCCCAGCCGCGGCCGCCAGCAGCCGCCCCCAAACACAGGGCGGAGCCAGTCCAAAGACCTCGCCCGGCTCGAGAGACACAACACGGCGCACGCCAGCCGCAGCCACCGCGGCGCGCCCTCGAATCACCGGGGGAGGAGAAAGGGAAGAGAGAGGATCAGACAGCAGCGACATGCGAGCCAACCCGCGCAGAGCTCGCAGGGCTGGGCTCTCTGAAGAGCTCTCGCGGCTGTTGTCTTCCTCTGGCTCCCTTCTTCACTCCGTTCTCGCCTCCTTGTGATTCGAGGGCGCGCCGTGGTGGCTGTGGCTGAAGCATGGCCACGCACCGCCCAGCGGCCTGAGGGCGTTCCCCCGTCTCTTCTGCTAAGTCGTTCCACCTGTTTGGCTGTCGTCCTGTCTGCTCTGTCGTTCTGTCTGTCCCGTCGTCTTGTCTGTTCCGTCGTTCTGGCTGTTCGGTCTTGTTTCTGTCTCTTCTGTCGTCCTCCTTGCTTGGTCGTCTTGTCTGTTTTGTCGCTCTGTTCGCTCCGTTGGTCGTTCTGTCTGCTGCGTCGTTCTGCTTGTTCGGCTGTCTTCTCTGTTCAGTCGCCGCGCCGATGTGCAAGCGGAGCAAAGTAGCGACGCACCTGCGCACCGCGACAGAGCGACGCGGTGGCGGGGTGCGTAGTATCTCCGGAGGCTTGCGCGCTTGTGGCTTGTGTTCTCACTGTGGTGGGTGGCGAAACACGTCCAAAACCTCCAGGGTGGCGAAGGCTTTCCGGGTGCCGTTATCGGTTTCGCCTGGGTCGCTTATCCATCGGCTTCGGCTTTTGAACACTTAGGGAGCAAACCCGCCAAAAAGCGAGACACAGGGCGAGGCCTCACAGATGGGGAGTGGCCACAACACAAAACACAAACGCGGGAAAAAGGCCAAAAAGGCGAAGACAAAACGCAAAAAGCTGCCGGCCGTTTTGCAAGTCCCTTAGCGGTTTCGGCTTGCCTAAGTTCTGTCCCTTAACAGTTTCGAACTTCATGCGGGTATCGGTTTCGAGTGGATCCCCGCGAAACTCTTAGGCGAAACCGTTAAGGGACAGCGTTGCTTCGGTTCCCTTGTCGATTTCTCTGCCCCCTTTTTCCCCCGTTTGCCTCCCCCGGTCTTGCTCAAGGCGTGGCCGCGTTTTGCTCTTGGGCCGTCCGCTTTCTTATCGGTTTCGCGTGCTGCCTTCTCTTCTTTTCTGTGCTTTTCTGGCGTCTGCTTATCGGTTTCGCTACGGCTGGGCAGCGATCCCGGGACACAGAGCGGGCAGCCCTTGCCGCCTCAGTCCTGCGCGTGGCTCACTGCATCGCGAAGGCCTTGGGCAGGGGTGGCTCGGGTGGTGGATGCTTTGGCAGCCTCGTACTGGCAAGGTTTTCGACAAGTTCTTAATCGGCGGCCAATGGGGACGCAAAAGCCGCCCGGGGGGCTAAGCAAAAACAACAAGCCAAGGGACTCGATCCCGAAAATTGAAAAAACAAAAAAAGGGCCGAAACGTGGCAGCCCCTAAACATCGCTGCCCGATCTTATTCCTCGCGGAATCTGGTGGGCACAAGATGAGTAATCGGCTGCGAGTGGCACCATTGGCCGCCGATTAAAAACCTGCCGAAACCCTTCCCAGTGCGAGGCTGGGAAGGCGTCCGCCACCCAGGCCACCCCTGCCCAGGGCCTCCGCGATGTAGTGAGCCACACGCAGGACAGAAGTGGCAAGAGGTGCGAAGCCGATAATAACGCGGACGGCCCAAGAGCAAAACGCGGCCACGCCTTGAGTAAGACTGGGGGAGGCGGACGGGGAAAAAGGGGGCAGAGAAATCCCCGCGAAGCTCTGAAGCGAAACCGTTAGGGGACAGCGCTGCCCCGGTTCCATTGTAGATTTCTCCGCCTCCTTTTTCCCTATTTGCGTCCCCCGGTCTTGCTCAAGGCGTGCCCGCGTTTTGTTCTTGGGCCGTCCGCTTTGCTATCGGTTTCGCGTGCTGCCTTCTCTTCTTTTCTGTGCTCCTCTGGCGTCTGCTTATCGGTTTCGCGTCGCCTGCTTTCCCTCGTTTGTTTCTCGCGCCTCCTCGCGTTTCTCTCTAGACCATGCCACGGGCCGGCCACCCTTGCGCCGCGGTCTTGTTGTGATATCTTGGGGGGCACTTGTGCGCCATCGGAGTCCCCCCCCGCGAAACTCTTAAGCGAAACCGCTAAGGGACAGCGCTGCGTCGGTTCCCTTTTGGATTTCTTTGCGCCCTCTTGTCTTCATTTGCTTCCCCCGATCCTGCCCAAGGCGTGGCCGCGGTTTTCTCTTGCGCCGTCCATTTTGTCATCGGTAGGGGGAAGACAAAGACGAGAGAGAGGAGCAGACGGCAGCGGCAGGGCATGCGAGTCAACCCGCGCAGAGCTCGCACTGCCGCGGCGATGGCTTTCCTTAGTGCCAAACTCTTCAGCTGTCCCGGGGATATTCCTGGGAACTCGGGGCGGGCGCTTTGCGCCGCGGTCCTGGTGTCATATCTTGGGAGACGCTTGCGGGCCATCGGAGTCATGTCTCCTGAACCGGGCAGCAGCGGGCACGCCTGAGAAGAGGCGCCCACGTGGTAAGTGCCTCTTCTCAGGCGTGGAAAAGCTTCCCGGTTTTGCTGTAGTCGTTTGCTTTTTTGGGTCTGTTTTTAGTCGGCTGGCAATGGTACCACTGGCGTCCGGTTAAGCCCGTGCGCGCACTAGAAACAGAGCAGGCGCGTGATTTTTCTGCTTTTAGGCAGCCGATTAAATTCGTAGGCGCTTCGTTCTCGGTGGCTGGCCTTTTTCGTTTCGGAGTTATTTTAGCCATGTCGCGGCCTTGCAAATTCGCCGCGTTCGCTCGGGTTTTGAGATCTGCGGCGCATTTCTTTTCGGCACTGTTTGCCCGCGATTCTTCTTTTTTTGATATAAATGCAAAAAGGTCGACTTTGGTGCCAGCCGTCCAGCCGCGTCCAATAATTCGAGACGGCTGGGACAGCTCTGCCCGCAAACTGTTCACTTCGCCGCCCAGCCTCCTAGATCTAAGAAAATAGAAAAGGAACGACTTGTCTAGCCGCTGCTAGTTTCATCGTCATTCGTGCCGAACAAGATGAGACTTTTTATAGTTGCGCATCGTAAAGAAAGAAAAAGTTGTATTGCGTCGATGAGAGTCCTCATGCGATATCAATGCGACGTAGCAATTCACAACTATCACTTTTGCAACTTCATTCTACGGAAGAGCTCTCGGAGGAGCCGTTTTTCGTGGATCAACCCACAGGGTCACAGTGGGAGTTTGAATTTGTTGCCGGCATTTGAGGGTCCAGGACAAGAGGCGAGACTGGTCTCGGACTCAGACACCTTCGGCCGCGTAGTGCCCACAGATCAGAGTGGGATCACAGCAACGGCGGCCGGAGGAAAGGGGCAGTCGGAGGAGCTGCGCAAGCAGCTACAACGAAAAGCGTCAGGTGACGCTTAGTGAAAATGATATGATTCACCAGAAACGCCTTGAGTTTCTTGCATATACATCAGTGAAAAACCACTGAAAAGTATCTCGAGAGGTCTCTTTGTTTCTGCGTTCATGAGAATTAAGTAGGTAAAGAGGACCTCCCTTGTTTGTGTGTACATTCCATAGAGAATGAACAAGTAAGTCCACACTCAGTAACGCAGCATCGCGCCTTCGAAAAACGTGTTCCCGTGGGAGTGAGAAAGAAATCATTCGCCATTATGAGAGAGAAAACTTCAAAACGATATACTTGAAACACTGTTTCAAAAACTTTTGTAAAGCAAAGATGAGAATCTGCCAAACATTTTTTTTGTACGATTCACAGATCTTTAACGGACCACACTCCATTTAACTATTTGTATTTTTTGTTTAATGTTGTTGCACCTGCCCCTCAAATTCCCTCTTCTTTCCCAGAAAGTGCTACGGCTCCTAGATTTTTTACGCTGCAAAATGGCCTCAACTAATTTTTCTTACCGCCTACAATAGAGTTTCTTGTCTTTACTTACACTTATTGACAGGAATTCGGCTCTCATCCATGGTAGAAAAAACAAAAATTCTTGATGTTACAGTCTTTGGATTTCTATGTTTTCAAGAAGCTATCTGAAATATATTAAAGCACGGTGTAACAAGAACTCAACGAAGATTTTGGCTAAATAGAAACAGTGTGTTGCAAAGCTACCTCGTGGTGAAAGAGGTACTGAATGGTGATGGCCTCTTTTAGGTGGTGGGACTCTAGGTCCTTACCATGATCAATATGGCACCGAAAAACGGAACTACAGGCGTGGAGCTTACCCGCGCTGCCGCATCTCAGCCGTTGATGCGCGGAGCAAGGCACTGGCGGGACAGTAGGCTGCAGAGAGTTGCTGTCGCCTTGTCCTCGTGCTGGCTTGCACTTTCCTCGACTCCACGGGAACATCCAGTTTCCGGCAATGGCGCGCACAAGGACAGACCAAACCGAGAATCCGAGAGTCGGGACGCTGCAAAACTTACAACCGAACCCACACCTTTGGACGCAGTATCGCAGCAAAGGTTTCCGGCGGGTGGCATAGACGCTGACTGGCACCCTCCGGAAGTAGAAAACCACGAAGAATCAGGCTTGCAGACGGTCACATTAAGGCGAAAACTTCAAGGCTCAAATTCCGAACAGGCGGCGCGAGTTTGGGTTATTAGGAATGCGGTTACGATGCCCGAAGGTAATTGTTAAGTCTGCTTTCCCTGCGAGATTGCAGCGCTAAATGGTCGCCATTCAATAACTTAGAATTAGTAAGCCCTGATATTTTGAGCATCTTGACAGCGCTCACGGATTTCATGATTATGTCATCGCACATCATGATTTGTACTGTGAACGAGTCAGCATCCTTCCTACACAGGATGGCGGATCGCAGAGTTTCGGTTTTTTGAAGATGAAGGATGCACACGAGGACTAGACCATGACACATTGCGACAAGGGCCAGAGAATACACTTGCTGGTACTGCGCCTCCTCGAGCAGATACAGCCTCCTGCGGGTACTCCGGAAACCACGGGCCATCGAAAAGTGTTGGTATCATTTTTTAGATTGCATAAGGCCATGAACTTTCTGTTACAGTATCTGATCGTAAAAAGCTTCTTTGCATTTCAACATTTTTAGGCATTATATTTATAGAATTCGATTTTCGGATTCGGATGTGGTGTTGTCAGACACAGGCTTCCGTTTCCCATTCTTTCCATAGTACGGCGGCGTCTTGTCAGTAGAAGTGCGCTATAACACATTTAGGAAGGCACTCGGAGATTGCCATTCTACTACAACTACCAACAGATGGTTTCGAAAATACCTTTTGGGTCGCGCCTTGCTGCCCATGCAATACCCTCGAAGGACACGTGGGAGCAGACTTCGGTTCGCCGGTTGTCGTCATGTGTGCCCGTATTGTGCAGGCATTAGCGCCATACGCCGCCAGCGAGATAACACTTTCAAAGGAGGGAACAACGATAGGAATATCAGGCAACCTGTGGGTAGTGACTCATGTCCTGTTTGTCAGTCAGGTGCTTTCAATAAGATATAATTAACCTTGAACAACAATCTTGCAGTTGCAAGCAGGACATAGTCAGAACTGATAACCGTTTTTCGTTTCTGGGAAACAAACTCGACAAGACAGAATGAAGCATTTTATCGAAAATAAAGCGTGAAGAAACCAATGAAGTCTCTGTCTCAAATCACTGCTCGTTCAGGTTGACTTGGCGACGTGGACAGGCCTCGGTCCTGGAACTAGCATCGAGGTAAGCGGTATCAATTCAGGACCGACGAGTATCACCTACGAGGTGATATCAGGGCAGCACTGCGGTGGCTTCATTTTCGGTCAGGAATACACAGACCTGCAATATGCAAAAAATGCTTGTGTGTCGAATCCTTCATGCGGGGCTGTGTACGAACAAGCGTGTCAAGACTTAGAGTATTATCTTGTACAGCAGATGTTGCAATGATCATAAAATTCGTTGGTGTTGGAAAATGTGCGATAGAGTTGTCTTTCGAATCCCACTTCTACCGAAGACAAACGTTTTCGGTTGTTTCGCTGGACGCAGAGGCGGGTACAGGGCCGAGGCAGATAAGGGACTGGGGCGGATACAGGGCCGTGGCGGATAAGGGGCTGAGGCGGACAAAGGGCTGAGGCGGATAAGGGACTGAGGCGGGTAAGGGACTGAGGCGGATAAGGAACTGAGGCAGATAAGGGACTGAGGCGGACAAGGGACTGAGGCGGACAAGGGACTGAGGCGGATAAGGGACTGAGGCAGGCAAGGGCGAAACCGATAAGCGCGAAGGCGGTAAGCGCGAAAACGATAAGGGCGAAGCCGATAGAGGCGGAATCGATAAGGGTGAAACCGGTGCTAAGGTCGGATCTGACAAGGACCACGTCGTTAGCTGTTGCAGATAAGCTGACGCAGATGAGCGGCTGTGGCTGCAGAGACGCTTGAGCACCCTCGCGCTTTCGCTCTGGCCTTCTCTATAGGCCCGGCTACCTTTCTATCTGTAAACCTGTTTGTTCAACCAATCAAACAGGCTTAAATATTTTCCGTCTGCTTCACTTCCACCACCAATGAAGTTTGGATCTGCTCCAACAATAGGTACGATGTGATCATAACGAACACGAACGACCTTGCGGCGTTGACGACAGCTATGGTGACCGTAACGGTGCCGCCTGCACGGCCCGGTGGAGTGCAAGAGTCGCGGACCATTATCGGCCAGAGTGCACTCATAGGAGACACAACGCTAGTGAAAGACTCCGAGTATGCTGCTGGGCCGCCCCCCACCTCGGCAGCTGCTATCTTCCCGTTTCCGGTGAAGCTCAAAGTGAAGCCGAAGTATGGCGCAATTAGAACGTGCGTGCGTGGCTACCAGCCAACAAATTCGCCAGAAGGCTCTTGCCTGCACGTGAAGCGTGGCGCTCTGCTGGAATTTACAGTACTACTAGAATTTGAATACTGCAACTAGATTTTTTCGCTGGATTATGAATTTGCTTGATGTCGGTCCCTCCGCAGGTGCGTGCCATAGAACCACCTCAACTAGAATCCGTCCAATATGTAAGGTCTTCAGCAACTTCGGAGCTTCGGATTCGTATATCATACCGAATGGCGCTGTCTATACCGACACGGCAGCAAAGTGCGCAGAGCTCTGCTTACAGGTGACTATATGCAACGCCTTCACATACACGATCCGAGAAAACGGCAACCCACCGACTGTCATATCATGTCGAATGGTAGGCTTTAGACTCCTAGATCATGTGAATTGGATTTTGGGATTTTGGCCACGTTCTTGGTTTCTCTTGATGTAACAATGTTGAGTTGATGTTTTTGGACTCAAGTATCAGCAATAACTGGCTGTAGTCGACCCGAAAGGACAATAGATATAGTGTAGGTCTTCGTAGAAATGATAATTCGGCTTCTTCATACAACTTTTCGTTCACAAAATTACAACAGCTGCAGATGCCTCCGAACTTGCAGCCTCCGCTAGGATTGCTTCCTGCCGACGGGGTGCTGGATGTTGTCGACTTTTACAAGCGAGAGCAGCATGTAAATGCCACAATGAACACTCTGACCGAAACAACTGATGCCCAGTCGGACGCACCGCGGCGCACAAGTGGCACAGTGTACGCACTGTCGCTTGCGGGCGGGACGCTGACACTGTCAGCTCTTCTGCTGTAAGAACCTTCCCAAAAGCTATTAACATTCAGCTTTCTTTCTGTTCTATTCTTCGAAACCAAGTCTCTGAAGTGTTTATATAGCGTCGAAGCCAGGCGGAGTATCTATCAAAGAGCTCGAACTTTCCTGTATTGTAATTATACATAGTAATTCGAGTTGTTTATGGCTGTTGTCCCCATATCTTGGTATGATCCCTATCTTCTGTATCCTCAGACGGGATTTCAATGTTGCGTTAAGATGTTTAATTTCGAAAAAGGATTTCAGGAAAAAAAAACTCTTACGAATACTTGCAGATGAAATTATCTATTGTAGACGAAGACAAGAACAACCATTAGAATGTGATCGTCGGAAGGCTCATCGTTGTACCGAATGTACAGTTAAAACAAGTCTACCAATGCTGGATGGAGGACCGATTTCGTGTGCAGAATTTATTTACTGCGCGGGTCCTGCTCTAGCAGCGCTGGGCCTGAGTTACATGAGAACTCCCTCGACATCCGGGTTTTTTTATGGTATGTCGGTGCGTGCCGGTCGTTTATTTTTTTATGGCTATTTCATTTGTTGCGTTTCTCGTCTGTGGTATTCCCACTCGAAGTTCGAAAATTCATAACGGGCTACGATTGTTTTTGTTCCTGTCGATGATCGTTTCTCGAATTTTATATCACTCAGCGAAATCCACAAAGTTATCATTATCCAAGAAGCATTGTCGAGGCCTGCTCCGGTTGAGTCCTGTTCAGTATAAACCTTTCCAAGAAACAACATTGAAATTAACAAGGAGCAATGCAATAATATTGATTGCGTCCTAGGGATAAGCAACTAGATCTGTTTTCGGACAGTGCATGCCAGCGGATTGAAAAATGTGCGTGTTTGGAGTTTTCCCAAAAAAAAGAGATGTAGCAACTGATTTATTCCCAGATGTAGCAACGGCGCGGAGTGATTTCCGGTTGAAAGGTTGACTGACCGCAGTGAAGATGGTCAGGTCATTGGTATATACGTGTTCTAGTGTTTGTACAGGCAAAAAGATTTGGTGAACGAGAAGAAGTGGGGCCCAACATTGCGTGAACTTGAACTTGGCCTACACAATATCAATCTGTCTTTGAGTATTGTTCTGTTCGAGAGGACGTCGTCGAGTGAAAAGTCGCGTGTTTCTCGGAAACTTCGATGTGAGTGAAGAGTCCGATCAGGTACAAATGGACAAGAGACTTGGAATCATCCTGGGGAATTGTTGATCAGAGAAGCCGCACTTGTGTTCTGTCATTTGTCTGATATTTCTGTTTGAGAGCAAGAGCAACACCGAGCTTGCTGTCCGTTGCTGTGTATCATCCTCGAGTCTTAACATCATCTTTTCTGTCCTCCCATGACCCAACGATGTACTGAAACTGACATCAACTCAGTTATATGGACTATCAATCGCAGACCCGTTTATGGTTTATGAGAAAACCCTTCGCAAAAACGAACTCTAGTCGCCCAAATTTTCTTGCTTTTACTTTATCGCTTCTCTTCCCGCATTTTTAGATTTAGGTTAACTGAGATCTCTATCAATTCGGTGTGTAAGTAAATAGTCGTAAAAGTGTACTTGAGTAGGCTTTCGTCGCAAAGTAAAGTAAGGTTCAATTGTCCATTGTTGTTCCCGCGTATTTTCTACTTGCGTAGAGGTCCCGTGTAAACAAACGAGATGCAAAATAGTTCAGCAATTAGTTGTCCGTCGGTTCTGTGAATATTTCTTGTAACTCTCGAAATTAATTTTTGTGTAATCTGAGCTCCATCTCTGTCATTGCGCAGTTTAGCAATACACGTGAATTCTCACGATTTCCTCCAACAATAAATACATTGAAAGAATCAACTGATAGCCGAAGGCGCGGTCTTGTTTCGCCTGATTTAGTGGAAATTGAGAATATCGGGTACCACTGTGATTCGTGATACGAAGTTTGAAAGAATGTTATCGCGCGGCATCGCGCACTTTTATCCGCGCTCTGCGCACTTTAATACCCCGAGGGTTGCTTCCTACTGAAGTAAATTTTTTTACAACTAGGGCGTAGAGGACGAAACTTTGCGAGTGCGCTTTGTATTCGAGTATCGTACAAAACGGCGGTTTAGAGGACTAAGCATTAGCCATTCGACGTGAGTTTGCGCGCACATACAACAGGCCACCGCGTCGAAGAGCGGTCTTTAAGACGAGGCATCCTTCTCTCTTCCACAGATGTCAACAATTATGTCGAGTGAAGGGTTAGGAGCACCGCTGCGGCAGACGACCGCAGTAGTCGTTCGCGTAGCTCCACTCAAGGATCCGGATATTTGCAAGGCCGGCGGAGCAGATAGCGGCTTATTTTTACCACTATTCGGTGAAGATGAGAACGATTGGGATATCAATTTGCGCCAATTCCTTTACCTCATAGGCACACTCTGGTGCTTTATGGGAGTCGCGATTGTCGCTGATGTTTTCATGGTACTAAAGTTGCAAGAGGCAATTCATTGTCATTGATTGAACTACTAGAGGGACCTGAGATAAGTACCTCCGCGGGAATCATTGTGGGTGGCACAACACACCCCATGGATGGGCACACTATCCACTATCAACCTTTTCACCTCATACCCCATGAATAAAGGGCATATTATCCACCATCAACCTTTTTACACCAGGGCGCAATCGAAAAAGTGACTAGCGTGAAGCGAACCATCACGGACCCAAAGACTGGCAGGACAACAACCGTGAAAATATGGAACGATACGGTTGCAAACCTAACGCTCATGGTATATTTAGCGCTCATTTGTTTTGAGCATGTAACACAGATGCAAATTTAACGCTCATTGTAAATTTTTAACACAAGCCAACTGCGAATTTAGCGCCCATGGTATTAACATGAAATGTCGAACAGAATTGACTATTCGAAATCTTGAATTATGCGAGTAGCTAATTGAAATATCCGAGTGTCGTAGAAGGTTATTCTCTGGGGTACTCGGTTATTCCAGTTTTTCGAATACACAGTTACACTTTTATAACGCTCATTGTAGAAGACGGAAGTTTAAACATCTAGAAACAACTCGCCAACACAGGCACTAGGATCTTCAGCGCCGGAGATCTTGTTGTCGGTCATCGAGCTCTTCAGCAACGACTTCCACTCCGGAGCTCTCGGGCCGTCCACTATTGTTGGCTCGGCAGCTTTCAACCTTTTGGTCATTATCGCAGTCTGTGTCCTAGCGATACCTGATGGCGAAATCCGAAAGATCAAGGATCTCGGAGTCTTCGCAATTACGGCCTTCTGCTCCGTTTGGGCGTATTTATATACATCGTTTTGTTCGACTCTTCACTCTAGTTGTATTCTTGCTTTTAGAAGAATAAGTAGATGACTTGTTGCAAGCTCAGCAAGATTTTTCCTCCCCAAAAAATCGATTAATGGTTCATTCTACAAGTAGAAAGATGAAAACCTAAAGTGCTTTCCTATTTTACAACTACAACTTTTTCAGGTACATTTGGCTCTTGCTGATTTTAGTGTGGGTCTCCGAAGACGTAGTCGAACCATGGGAAGGTGTCATAAGTTTTATGTATTTTCCGGTTCTGGTCGTAACAGCATATCTTGCCGATATAGGCGTCATCTGCAAGAGAAGTGCGGTATCCTCAACCGTTATTGCAGCACAAGACCTTTCTAAGGAGGAGCTCGCAGAACTCGTACTACTTCTATATAGTTCGCTTTCTTGTTGGTATAGACTTCAACTTATGACAGACAGAAAAAATCTTCACGAAAGTGTAGTTGATGTAGTTGTTGAAGATGTTTACACCAACCCTTTTCTGAAGACATATCACCTATAATTTGGAATGAATTAGAATTTGGATATTCTTGTCTTCATGTTGATCGAGAAAAAAGGTACTTTCACATGTTTGATAAATTTTGTGACCTCGTCCGAAGCTTTTCTTGTGCATTAATCTTGCGTTCAGGCCATGCGCATCCAAAAGAGGCACGGATCAGCGCAGCTCTCTGAAGAACAGATGGCGCGTTTAATGCAAGTAGAGACCGCGTCGAAGTCGCGAGCAGCGCGACGAATAGCAGCGACGCGTGGAAAATTAGCAGGAGGTGCAATCGGCCCGGACAAGGAAGTTGCCTCCGCGAAAACAAAAATGTCAGTAGTCACGCCTGCAGCTGATGACGCGGAAGGCGAAACTATTGCAGAAATAGGCTTTCTAGAAGGTACTTCCAATTATTAGATATAATAAACCCGCTCCCGCCTAGCTACGACATTCATATTTTTGTTTGCATTCGCAGCATGACTTGCTACTTGGTGCTTCTGCTCTCTCTTTATCATAACATCGAATTCATGCGTACACTTTCTTTTTTTAATCTTGTTGTTCACCATCATCGCGTACACTTGCTTATTAATCATGAATCTTCACAAATGACAGGCTGCATCTACGCGGTGCTTGAGGGCGGCGGCGCAGTGCAGCTGGTCGTGTCGCGAACGAGCAACGAAGGGCGGGCGACAATTGACTTCGCAACTAGGGATGGCGATGCGAAGCAACCAGAGGACTACATTGCAACCAAGGGCACGCTAGTCTTCGAACACGGAGAAACTGAAAAAACAATATCTGTGCCAATTGTCGATGACGACAAATACGAGGAGGACAAGAAATTCTATGTTGACCTAACCAACTTCGTCGAGCCCCCAGGCGTCAAGTACAACGTCCCAAAAGAATACTCAACAGCAACGGTAATTTTATCGACGAGTTTTTCTTGTCATGTGAACATTTAGATTCTTGACTATGAAGATCAAGACAGAACATTATGCATTGGTTTGCGACGATTCTCGTAAAAAGTCTGAAGATGGGCCACCTGTGATATATACGTTTACTCAATAACGCGATGATCATCCCAAGACTAACCTTGGTTTCGAATCTGTATGTTTTTGACGAACAGGTGACAATCATCGACGACGATCTGCCCGGCGTGATCATGTTCGAATTTGAGACGCTATCGATAAGCGAATCGAAGGAGGACGCAACACATAAAGTCCACGTTCTTAGAAAGAACGGTAGTACCGGAGAAATATCGTGCCAGTTCACCACAGAAGAAGATAGCGCCACGAAGGATATGGATTACGTGCACACTGAAGGTAAAAATCATATTTGAAAGAGATTGAACATTTTGTTTGACGTTCTGGGCGCGTGAATTATTCTATTATGTTGCGCCGTAGCATTGCAGAGTAGTTGATGCATTCAAGTTTGTCTCTATTTTGCATACTTGGATTTTTATCACACTACACAGGCATGCTGACCTTCGCACACAACGAGCGAGAGAAGGTGATTCCGATTCGGGTCATGGCCCGCGGTCGATACGAGAGTCTAGAGAAGTTTAGAATTATCTTGTCGGACGTGGCCGGTGGGGCGAAGTTTGACGTGAACACTGACGGCGGAGAGGACACTGCGGTGTGCACGATCTCGCTATGCCCGGAAGAAAAGCAGAAGCGCTTCATCGACGGTGCGGGCGCCTTGTTGAGGGTGAACAAGGACAAGATGAGTGTCGGACACGCAAACTACAAAGAGCAATTTATTAGCGCCATCTACGTGAACGGGTCACCAGAAGAGCAAGCGGAAGCCTCAACGTCGGACTGGATCATCCATTTCATCACCGTGTTCTGGAAGGTGCTCTTCGCGTGCATCCCACCAACGGACTATGCAAACGGATGGGTATTTTTCATTTTCATATGAGAACGATTCATATTCAGTGAGTAAGTACTTGACGATGTTAGTCTTCTTGCATGTTGTGAAGTGACTAGTACTTTTTCCAGCCCATTGCTTCTCTCCAGCTAAGAACGAGTAACCGTTCACATGTGGTTGACCGCAATCGAGCAATTTTTTTTCGATGTATGAATTCTTTTCCGCTGTAAATCCCATGATCATCAAGCAATGTCCCCTAGGTATGTTTTTTCTCGTCGCTTGCCATGATCGGAGTGGTAACTGCGATTATCGGAGACATAGCAGCAATGCTTGGATGCGTTCTCAACATCCCATCCTCGATAACCGCTATCACTTTTGTTGCCTTGGGTACAAGTCTCCCAGATTTGTTCGCCTCTAAGGCATCTGCAGAACAGGATCCATATGCGGATGCCTCAGTTGGCAACGTCACAGGAAGCAACTCCGTCAACGTAGAATTTATTTCTTCGAAATTCTTGTTGTAGAAAAGGGAAAACACTGTGCTTTTAGTACACAGATAATACTCGAGCGCATAAAAATCAAAAAACGTCCTTACGGTAAACAAACCAGACTACTAAGAACAATAAGATAGATGGAATCAGCTTAGTACGCTGAACACGAAATTGTAAGTAAGCGAGTAAAAAGTTATTGTTTTGAAATAATGAATAATTAGGTATTCTTGGGTTTGGGTTTGCCCTGGATGATTGGTGCGTTTTACTGGCAGTCCGAGGGCCGAACACCAGATTGGGAGAACACTATCCTGCAAAAGAAGGCGAGTCTTCTTACGCGATCGGACCTTAAGGATGGTGGCTTCGTCGTCGTCGCAGGTACCATGCTGTCTTGAAATAAATGAGAACCACAATTCGAATTAGATATACACTGTCCGGTGGAAAAGTGAGTTGTTGCTCCCATTGTTGAATGATTTGTGAATAATTAATGTAACTGCTTGCGCTTAGACGCATTTCTTGATCCTGATACTCTCTGCAGGTTCATTGGGATACTCGGTGATGATTTTCACGATATGCGCATTAGCATGCATCGCTACTCTGATCGTCCGAAGATCCGTCTATGGCGGAGAGCTAGGTGGTCCGAAAGTGCCCAAGGTATCTGGCTTTGTCTACTTTAGTGTTGTGCGGCATGACTCGTCTAAGCTGATGCTTTTTAGGTCAATAACAAATATCGATATTTGAGTTTTTGATAGCTGGATGTTGTTGTAGAACTAGTTCTATTCAACTACTTTATCAAATTTTTTGCCACTTTTCCCAACGTCAATCTACCCCTCGACTTTCAAATTTTCACAGATTGGTACGGCAGCCTTCTTCGTGGGACTGTGGGGTCTCTACATCCTCTTGAGCTCGCTCAAAGCCCTCGACGACGAGTGATGAAGAATCAAAAGTTTCTCTAATACCCTGAAAAAATCTCAGAGCACATGAAAAGAAAAATGAACGAGACATTGATAATATGTCACTGGTGACCGTCAACATTTTTATAGCTTCACGAGACCTTATTCTGATAGCAACTTTGATAGATTGTGAGCACGGCGTTTTACATTACAAAAAGCAATTTCCACACATTGATAATGAGAACATCAGCATAGACAGTGCTTGAGTCAACAAGGCTTAAGTGAACAAGTAGTTCCGAATTCTACAAGTATTGTATAGTACTGTTAGAGGTTCATGGCCAGAGCATGAACGAGATCTTACGCACATCGAAAATATAATGCATGGTCGGGGAAAAACGAAATTTCCCCAAAAGAACATGACGCAGCAACCCTCATCGGCTTCGCGCTTTTTTATCCTGGTCATTTATGAATGTATCGAGTTTTCCATCTGCAACGAATACAAAATGGATTAGAAATAGAGGCAGTATTTGGCACATGAAAAAATTAGAGTTTTCCAAACTCAAAAAAACGGTAATATCATTTAGTTTGCGATTACAAATCGAGATATTGATACGCTGCCCGTCGCGCAGTGGCACCGTTGTAGACAGTTGTTTCTAATAAGTTGTGAATTTTACGGAGCAACGTTGTAAGTATTTGCAACAAGGGGCTTTCAGTTCTACCTTGGGCGGGGCTAGTTTTTCATTGGGCTTGTTCTACCTAGATAAGATATTTTACGCACTAATCATTAGGGACCAAGTTTCGCATCGATCTTCCCTTGTTTGATGGTACTGTTAACCTTGAAATTAGCTCCTGTGCTTGGAAGACAATACCCGGACTCCCGTTGTGTACAACGGAGATCATACTTACACTTTCGCAGTTCATACTTATGCCTGTTATAATATTGTCAAACGAATAGCTCCATATTTTCAACTTGTTCATGCTTGTCTGATGCGGTATCACTAAAAACGTGCTGATGAAAGGCTGCATTTAGGGGTTGGATAAACTTTGCACTTCGTAACTCACATTCTAACCATGATCAACAAAACGACCACGCTAGAAAACAAAATGAACGAACAGGAAATAAGCGACATTTAATAAAACCTTCGCAAGATCATTAGTGTGTCACTTTTGACGCCGTAGAGATAGCCGGACATGAACGCAACTCGCAGCTGTGTATACCATCAGCAACATCTCGCTGAGATCATTTACAAATTGAAAAGGAACCTGGACATGTTGACAGCACATCAGCTGTTCGATGACCTCCCACTTACATTGTGTTTCACGGAGTAGGAGTAAGAACTTGGTAGGAGAAAAAACGACCCGCCTACATACACGATCGTGGCAAGCAAGTGCGAGCTGAAAATGGACGGACTTTGACGTTTTATTCGAGCGAAGGTGACGCTGAAAGTTAAGTCGGCGAGAAGAAAATAGAGAGAGAATGCGTAGCAATTTGTTAGCAGTGTGTGGTTATTGCAGACTCCCCGATATCACAATTGATGACATAAGTCATCACTACTTTAACTAAAGGAACAAAAACAAGATGTCGGGAGAAAATGCAGACTTCGCTATCCTCACGCTACCTGACGGCCGCACGCACAATATCCGAACCTACAAAGGCACAGCGGGCGAGGAGATTTTTCTTGATATCCGCGACTTACAAGCAAAATGCAATGCCTTCACCTACGATCCTGGCTTTGGGTGTACGGCCTCATGTTCGAGTTCCATCACTTTCATCGACGGCGGCAAAGGAATCTGCCTTTATCGCGGTATTCCGATCGAAGATCTATGCGAAAACAGCAGCTTTCTTGAGGTTTCATTTGGATGTTACCAAGATGTTAGCACTACGTTGTACAAGTGTTCCTAGACCAGTGAAGCTTTTCGCACGGAAACTTTTGTGTACAATGTACCCGTTATTCTTGTTCAGGATCCTTCGCCATACCAGTGTTTCTTCCTGACTCTGTCATGAGGTTTCGTATCTCCTGATGACGGGGGAGCTGCCGACTGCGAGGGAGCTGGAGCTGTTCTCCCATGAAATTAAGCAGAATCTTCTTGTGCACGAAAAGCTGAAGAAGATGTTTGAAAATTTTCGCATGGACGCTCATCCCATGGCAATCATGGTCGCGGTGACTGGAGCACTTAGCGCATTTTTTTCGGAACTAGATTTACGGGCAGCTTTTATCCATCTTTCTCGGCATCTCGATGCCCGTCCCCCTTGTATTTTATGGAAAAGGGGCCGAGATAAGTGAACCGAGAAGCATTCTAGTACACGCTAATAGATCAGACCGACACAACCTTTCGCTGGCTAGCAGCGGTTCGCATGGTTGCGAAATTCCCGACTCTCGCAGCGTTGGCCTACAAGACGCATTTGGGCGAGCCACCTGTTTGGCCACAAGTAGAAGTTTTTCCATCAAGTGGTGTGTCGTGCCATGATTTTCCATTCAAGTGGAGTATTTGTGTGCCTTCAAGTGGAAGTTTTTGGTCAAATGTAGAAGTACATTGGGAGCAGTGCTGTAGCGATTGTCTCCATGTAGTTCTTCATGAGACGACAGAAAAACTTCTGGATATTGGCCGTGTCTCCTAAGACAAGTTGCATACTTCTATTTTATGTGAATTATTTTCGTTTTCCATTTTCCGCAGGTGCACGTGCAGTGCATACTCTTTCTCCCATCGCTCAGGCCAAATTGAGTTTCGCGGAGAATTTTTTGCATATGATGTTTTCGACGCCATTGGAAGAGTACAAGGTGAATCCGTTTCATGCAAGAGCTATCGACGCTTTTTTGATTCTACACGCGGACCACGAACAAAACGCGTCGACTTCGACTGTCCGCATCGCCGGGTCCAGTCAGGCGAACCCTTACGCGTGCATTGCTGCAGGGATCGCGTCTTTGTGGGGCCCAGCGCATGGTGGAGCCAATGAGGCGGTCATTAAAATGCTCGAAGAGATCGGACACAAAGAGGAGATCCCAGAATTCTTGGAGAAAGTACTAACCAGATGACGTTTTTTCTTTTTCCACATCCGTTCCCTCGAAGGACCTTTTCCGAGAAAGAATATCAATATGAATGTAGTTACTGTGTTTATTCAAGAATAAAGTACTTAGATATCTTCTTTACTATTCCAGTCAATTTTGATCTGACAACCTTACTCGTCATTGTCTTTGATGAGGTTAAACGCAAAGAGACGCGGCTCATGGGGTTCGGACACCGCGTTTACAAGAATTTCGACCCCCGAGCGAAGCAAATGAAGAAGCTGGCGCACCAGATCCTGAACGATCTGGAAGTGGCGGACCCAAGCCTCGAACTTGCCATGGATCTCGAAAGAATCGCCTTGGAAGATGAATATTTCACGAAGCGGAAACTCTACCCGAACGTCGACTTTTATTCTGGCATCATTTTAAGGGCGATTGGTACCTACTGGAATTAAAATTTTGGATTCATATTCCCTTCAACCAATGTAAGCATCAATGCATGTGAAACTTGAAATCTGTACTCAGAAGGCGAAAAAATATTGGATTCTTATCGTCTGAATCAAACTGGAACTCAAGGTATTCCCACGAATATGTTTACGGTGATGTTTGCGATGGCGCGCTGTGTCGGGTGGTGTTCACATTGGTTGGAAATGCATTTGGAGGATCAAATGCGAATCGGCCGTCCGCGGCAGCTCTATGTCGGCTCGACGCGACGGCCATTCATTCCGATCTCTCAACGGGGTGAGCGAGGTGGGTCGAGTCAGTCTACGGATTTGGCAGAAATAGAGATTGTAGGAGGAGATGAGCGCCGTCACCGTTCTGTGAAGGGGACGATTGCAGATGAAGAGCGTTTGCCACGAAGCTCCCAGCTCTTGGCCGCTCCGCAACGGCAATTGTTCGCCCGGTCGGCATCGGCAAGTCGGATTTTTGTAACGGGACGGACTTCCGTTTTGCCGGCGCCATTGGAGGCGCATTCGCAGTCCAAAGGCAGAGTTTCCCATTTTATCCAGGGCTTGGCGGCGAAGACCAACACCAGCTTCCAGATGTCAGTGCCCGACGACGAGGGACCAAGCAAGCGCATGGTTACGCCTAAGATGGCGCAGAACCTCCTGCCGAGCCAGTAATATAAAAAGGGAGGCTGTCACTCATTGTCATAGAGCACATATTGCAGGTCGCGTCACGACAGTTTATTTCTGAACACATGCAATTATTGAGACTTGTTAAAGCGATTCTTACATGTTGTCATACACGATATTTCGACCACACACATAGCGCGCTTATCCCTAGAATATATGCTTCTACTCGGTTCAGCATCATGATTCATTTTCTAATCCTAGCTGTCTCATAGAGTTGTCTGTCCTTCATTGATCTGTCCTCTACATGAATAGCCAAATTGTACAAGTAGGAAGACTAGGCACGACCTGGGCTGCAGGCCAGATTTTGATTGTTCTAAATCATCTTGATAATTCTCGTGGAATATAGCTTTTATAGACTTGCATAGTCTCTGTGTACGACGCAGAAGCAAAATATCCCTAAAGCTGTTGTAGAATAATGTAAGACCAAAGATACTATGTCGAAATATAGTACCACCTAGAGTTGCGCAGAAGAAGTTTCATTTGCTACCTAGGCACATCATCACTATCATCACCATAATGGCAATGAATTTTTCATATGAAGAATCGTAAGGAAATGTTGGGAACCGTGACTGTGCCTAACCTCTACTCATTCAGCTTGTGCTTGTAATCTCTGTCTTCAAAGATTCTCGCACATTGGAAAAGGACCACCGAAAATTTGAAGGACTCATCGTGCTCCAGCCCTTGGTGATTGGAAAAGCAAACACGCACATACTTGGATGAAACAGGCGTCTCTAATGGCTTCAAGGTCAGTACGCCACTGATGCTTGGCTGGTTGGAGGAAAACCATGGTATTCTGAGCACATCCGTTGTCCGGAGGCACGAAGAAGTATCCGGTCGTTCTTGAAAGTGGACAAAGGGGACTATGAAGTGCTTGCTTTCTGTGCGCCCACTCATGCGGGTGCGTCGAACAAAATTGAAAACCTTGTTAAGTTGTAAATTGTAAAATTTTCATAGAAAAATCATACCCGCGAGTAATTTGCCGTTCCTGTTGCTGTTGAGTGCTGCATCAACTCGTCCACGGAGTCGTAGACGCTGAATAGGGCAAGCCTACGTGAACTGTTAAGTCGCCCGTACAAGGCGTGGCACCGCACCAAGACGATCGACTTTGGCATGAAGCAAGTTGATTTCGCGGATGTAGTCCGCGATTGCGTCGTTCAGCTTCTTCGCCTGCAGCTCATTGTCCGCCATGCATGCTTGCATGAGAGCGCGTGAAGGTGAGACGGGCAACGCTCCGGGTGGCAGGTACTAGGTGTGTAATTGCTCCCGCCTTTGCTCCTAGTTCTTGACCATTGTAAATCGTGGGGGCCTTTAGCGTAGTTGTTACGGAGATTAAGAACTCGCCCCTACGCCGGTAGCTACGCGGAAAATATGTAGGCAGGTTCTTCCCGGAACTCGCTCGCGATACAAAAAAAAAAAGAGACTGAATCGGAATTGAAGGGTACGCAGATTATTGATTCTCCCAGAAATGATTTTTTGCAACATCGCCGAGCGCGGCGCCCAAGGGTCGCAAGCTTCGCAGGCACTGAGCAGCGAAGCTTGCAACCTATTGGCGCGGTCGCGGCTTGCAAACGTCTGTCTTCGCATGTTCCACACGCACACCTCGAACTATTCTATAAATTTAGAATAGTCCGAGGTGTGGAACATGCGAGGACTCTGGATAGGGCTTAGGGTTAGATCACGCGTACTCTGGATAGCTGTCTTTATCGTTTGGGTCATAGAAGTGTTGAGCGAGGAGAAGCGAAACAAAGGAGTAGAAGTCCGAAAAATTGAAATTAGAACCAGAAAAGGGTCGAAATTCTGTCTTTTATTCTGACCATGGATCAGTACAATGTCTCGCGAGCAGGAGAAATGAACGATCTGAGGTGGAGACCCCGGTCTGAATTCAAAAGCAAGATCCAGATCCACATTTGGCTCCTACTTACCGTGTATCTTGTATCTTCCCAGGTTTCTGATTTACCATTACGCCAAAAACGCCACCAGCAGCGCATCAGTCACATTGTCAATGCAGGAGCTTGATAAAAGCGCTAGCGTGCCTATGTTCAAAGAGACGACGTCGACCTGTACCAAAAATTTAGAAATACAAGTCTTGCTGCTATCTTCTTGGCCTCCTATTCTGTTCTATTTTCATCTTCAATATACGTAACTACGTAGTCGAACAAAAATTCTGCTTTCCACTAAAATCGCAATCAATTATCCGCCGAAAGAACGAGCCCACTTTCTACCCACGAACTTCCATTTCACCACTTTTTTCCATTTTTACCAAAGACGAAGATGAGGGCCATCAAGAAAGTCAGTTCTCTTCTGCAGGCGTCAGTGCTGCTACTGGCGCACCAGCAGATGATCCCCGTCCACGCAGTATATCCTAAGCGCCGGGAGCGGAACACAACTGCCGCTAGCACTGCGGAGACATTGTTAGGGACTTCCTGTTGGCGTGCCAGGAACGCAGCCGTCGCGATGGGATCTACAGGACCAGCTGCACCGGACGGGCGGGCACCAGTGGCGCCAGTTTATGTGGGAGTCAAGGGAAATGCGGGAGGGGCGTCATCACAGGTGGACGTTTTCCTGCGGGGCGGGCAAGCGCAGGAGGAGCAGCAGCACCAGGCATTTCGATTTCCGTCTACGTGGAGTCCGATGGAGGTGGAGAAGCACGAGCTGGAGGAGACTTCCCTGCGACCAGAACAACGGGTTCTGCAGAACGGTCGCCTACGGAGGCAGTTGGAGCTTTCGAAAGGTGCGAGGTCGCCAAGCCGGAACTTTCGCGGGCCGCGGTGGAGGACAAAGTCTCACGAGATCTGTACAGTTTGCTGGAGCGGGAGAGGGATTTGAATATGGAAATCTGGGCAAGAGAAGTGAGGGCAGAGATGGACCTCCAAGGTGGTGATTATATTCATACCCATGCCGGACCACTAGCCCAAAATCCGTGGCGCATAGACTTCGCGTGGCCCTTGGAATATCTGCAAGACGCACGCCTCTTCTGCAGGACCGAGGCGACGAAACTGAAAAGAGAATTGCAATGTAATTTGCAACGAGAAGATAAATCTGACGCTGCTGCCTGGACAGCTTCGAAGGCTGGTGAAGGCGTTCGAGGTCGTGGCACGCGATCATGATACGCAAGCAGACGAGGCGCACGAGGAAGAGAACAAGCGCCAGGGCGAGCGGGCGGACCAGTCGCACGAGGACCACCAGTCGGAGGATGTTATCAGCACTATCACGGGAACTTGTATTAAAAGCGCACCAGAGAACGTGACGCAGCGGTTCGACCACGGCCACGACCAGCAGGGGGTAAAAAAGAAAAACGTCGAAAGATTTTTGCTCTTCTCCGTAACGCGGCGGATGGGCTACCCGACTTCGTGGTCGAGCATGCGAAAGCGTGTTTGGAAATGACCGAAGGTCATCATATGAAGCTGCGGAGGGCCCCAGATTCCGTTTCCGTCGTGGTAACCAGGCTGGTGGCCGCAGCTTGGGGCCTGTGTTTTGTGAAGAACAATGGTCGTAACTTGCGTATTCGACACAAAAGACAGCAAGAAACAGGAGCGAGGAAGACCGGGAAGAGCGCGGCGTTTCAGGCGTCGATAGGCGTGCAGTGCTGGCTGGAGGGTTTCTACCAGCATGCACTGCCGAAATTAGTGGCGGAACCGCAAGTGCTTTTGCAGAACTGGCTGCCAAAAATTGAAGAAGAAAAAGAAAAAGAAGATCCAGATGGACATGTTGGAGCGATCTGCGAAGGGTGCCGCGAGTGGGGTGAAGGTCGTGGTGCACCGTATAAACAGGTGCTCGCCAGCACAAGGGGGACCATGGCGGGGTCGTCGACCGACGGGAGGGTTAAGCCGTTCTTGCAGATCCCAGGGCCTGTTGATGTTGTGGCGCTATTTAAACCGGTGTTTCGACCGTTTTGGCGTCGACCTTTTGTGGGCGTGCTGCGGATCATCATCCGAGCCAGCAAGAACTTCTTCTGACGCGAGTAGAGACCGAGGCCGCCGCGAACGGGAACGGAGATGACCGAGGGAACAAAATGACGGAGGGAAGGAAGAGACGGATGAGAAGACATCGATTTGGACAAAAGAAAGGCAAAGAGATGTACCTGAATCTCGCCAAACAAGGCAACACGCCGCACGTACCGGGGCAATTGTAGTTTCCCAATTAGAAGACCCGCATTGAATCACGCAGCAGGGCCTGAGCTCAGTGCTCTTGATGATGATCGTCTGAAGGTTGCTAGCCAGTACAATCGACATGAGCATATAAGCTTCCCATCGGCTTCCAGTCGATGTCTACGCGTGTTGTAGGTGTCTGCGACATGACAAGGACACACGACAACCTTCACTACCACGAAACGTTCATTTAGGCCTGGACGCTTTCTTTCCGTAGGCGCGTGTGCCACGCACTGGCTACGATTTTTTATTAAGTAGACCCATATTGGATAATGAGCTGGCAAAACAAATATTTACGTCCGCCACTCCGGACTTTGACATTTTCTAAATCTCCTCCTCGCACACAGCTTTTAAAGCCTCTTCATATCTGACCATATCGTTGAAGGAGGTGCAAGCTTCGAGGACACTAACATCGATGAGCAATTATTGGCGGCACTTTTGTGAACCTCCGAGAGCTGGGCCCCCGCAAGAGTATCCCGTTACAGGCATTGATAGAAATTAGAGCTTTGTGAAAGAAACTGAAAAAACAACAAACGTAGAAACCCTCAAGAGTACTGCGCTACCTACAACAGATCCGTTTTAGTAGAGCACAAGAATAGCTGTTTCTCTTTCTCATTCCTACCGATTGTTTTGAAATTCAACCACTGCTGGATGAATACAGGCTGAGAGGTATGATTTAACTCTATGAGAAATCAAAACCCAATTGAACCCTTGCCTATGTAATATGGCTGGTTTCTAGAGCAGAACTTCAAGACGACTTTCCAGAGCTGCAATTCGAGTGCCTCTATCTACGATTCTGTGGAGCTCGTCGTGTTCCGATGGTGTCAGCAACAAGAAGAGATGATCTGGTGTGTGTTTTATGTAATAGTTTCCTGCTCTGTAGTCTACGTCTACCTCGCCTCATCCGTATTTCTGTCGTTTGTACTCTGTGTCGTAGTGGTCTCAGAGTATGTTGTCACTCAGTCTTGTCCTTCAGTCTCCTTGATGATCCTTCGGTTGTAGTCTCCCCGTTTCTTTTGATTGATGTCTGTGAAAGGTCACGCTCCCCTGGCGCAGCATCGCTGGAGGTATGGCGCCCGCAATCTCACAATCCAAAAGTTTTCCAAGTCAAACTGAAAAGGACATGCTGCAAACGGGGAAAAGTTATTACTGAGAAAAAACTGCAACTGCATATGCATGTAAGCAAAAGGTCAGCGTAGGAAGCAGCGAAAGAAAAAGAGATTTTTTTTCGTAATCGTTGCTCTGCGACAAAGCGTTGTTAGTTATCATTGGAGATAAATAAGCGAGGGTGGAGTTCATTGAAGCAAGTAGGAGGTCGAGTCCGAATTTGAATCCTGTCATTCACAACCAGAAATACAATGTCTTCGTACCTCGCGCAGCAGCAGCAAAACCAGCACGGAGCGAGCCATCATGTCAACAAGTATGACAGGAGAGATGTCGATATTTTTGTATAGTGGTCGTAGAGATGACAATGAGCTACAAGAACCTAACTGTGCTCCCCCAGGAAGGATTTTCACATTAGACCATGGTTTGAACTAAGACTACTTGCGGGTTCTTTTCTACTAGGCTGATTTTGAAACCACATCCTTACTTTTTTCTTCTTCTTTCATCCGCAAGAGGCTCAATTGCGGGAGTTAAACAAGTTGCAGGCCTTGTCGGCGAATATCCAAGTGCCGCGTTCCACCGGCAAAGGGTACACGAACCTGGACGTGGAGGCGTTCAAAGATGCAATCGACTTGCATGTTGAGAACCACTTCGAGACGGCCGTGGCCCGCCAGCAGCGACAGCACGATGCCCGCCAGCTTTCGCGCGGCATGACAGGAGAGCAGCGCCGCATGTTCGACCGCGAGTTGGGAAAGGAGGAAGAGCGTGTTTTGCGGGCCGAAATTGGCGGATGGAAAACCGACGACTTCGCGGTAGTGAAGACACTGGGGCAAGGCGGTTTCGGTGTGGTGCGCTTGGTGCAACATCGAGGTTCGCGCGATGTCTACGCCATGAAACAGATGAACAAGAGCGCTTTCCCGAAAAAGAACGATCTGCAGCGCCTGATGAGCGAGCGCAAGTGCCTCGTTGCGCTGAGCAATGGCAGTCCCGCTTCCCAGTTTTTCGTACAGCTCTACGCGTGTTTCCACGACGACGCGCATCTCTACATGATCATGGAGTTCCTGCAAGGCGGTGACCTCATCTCTCTGTTGTGTGAACGCAAACGCCTCTCCGAGTCCGAAACGCGTTTCTACATCGCAGAACTGATCGAAGCCTTGGACTACATCCATTCGATGGGCTTTGTTCACCGCGATATCAAACCCGACAACATCTGCTTTTCTCGGCAGGGTCACCTCAAACTGCTCGATTTTGGTCTCTGCAAAGAGGTTGTGGATTTATGGCACTGGTCAATAAAGATTGTTGTGAGGAGGTGCTGGTCTTCAAGGTGCGGCAATTTGGATTTTTTTGACGAAATTTTGAACAACACTAGTACGTAAATTCAAGAATTTCATTATGCACACTGCCACATCGAGACGCCGTTTGATAATGAGCGTCTCAACAGTTTAGAGCGAAGTTGTTTTCAGTATTATGTCACGCAGACACTCTAACAAAACACTGGAAAGCCAGCACGGATTTCCTGAAAACTTTGCCGCCGCAACACGTGCTTTGTGACGACAACGATCAAACGGTGACCGTAGAGGACTACCTAGCGAATCTCGAGAATGACCGACGCCGTCATTTAAATTCTTGGGTGGGAACGCCGCAGTACATGGCGCCAGAAATCGTCAACCGCGAGACGTACTAAAGGGAAATCTTTTGTCGCTAATTCGATCATGCTCATGCAGTCCTTGCCATTTTTTTTGATACAACTTCTGTGTAGCCGATAATTGTTCTTAGCCTAACTTCTACTTTCGACCGGACTGGAGACATTGATTCCAGACTTTCTGCACCACATGACTCGAACCACGTCGCAGGTACACAAAGAGTGTCGACTTCTGGGCCGCTGGCGTAGTGATGTACGACTGCTTGGTCGGCTCGACACCGTTTAATCCGCGCGTGGGGGAGAGTGAGCCACCGCAAATTCAAAAAGCGGATGCAGTTACGCGTGTGATCTATAAAATCCAGAAGTGGCAACACTACTTCTCGAAGGCTATTCAACGCGGGCGTCAGGCAAATTACTTGCCTTCGAATGCTGTGGATCTTCTGGGATGCCTCGTTACGCCAACGAACTTGCGTTTGAACGCAGATCAGATTCGCCAGCATCGGTAACGAGATGATTTGAATACCAACTTTTTTCTTCGGCGATTGATATTGTCCTCGCAGGTAATTACATGTGCATGTTCTACTTGGATGTTCTTGTTTTCGGCTGGTTTTTGAGGCGTAAAAGAAATGCCCGGCATACGATCACACTTGTCATACAGTTTCTTCCACGGCTTAAACTTCGGGAAACTGCTTTCTATGCCAGCGCCAATTGTGCCACGAGTTTCGAGCTCGCTTGACACGAGCAAATTTCCGCAGCACAAGGAAGTCCCGTTGCCGCATTGGCAAAACCTGAACCGCAGTATGGATCGGATCCGCTATGAAGCCTTCGACTTTACGCAGTGCCAAGCACCTGATGTCCACATGATTGCAGCCCAGGTGAAGAACGAGACGCAAATGCCAACGCTATTGGAGCAAAGAGGTCAACACGCTGCAGCCACTTTGGCAGGAAACAAAGGTTCGGGTTTTCTCGAATTCTTCAGTCTGTGAATAGATGATCGGAGACTACAACGTATAGTTTGTTGCCCTCAGATAATTGAATTCGATGAAAAAACGTGGTTCGATTTGATGGATTACTTGTATTGCATTTCTAAAAAGGCCGCGATTAATAACCGCACACATTATCAAAACTCAACAGCGTCCGTGAAAATGCCTCAAGTTACTGGACAATACAAGCCGACCCGCGGAGTTGTGCCTTCTCGACGATAAAAAGATTGCAGAATGATGATTTGAGCAATTTTCTAGCCGAGTCAGGAACCCTCTTACCAGGACTGGTTACTACAAGTATTTTCAGGTTAGAAGTATGCGTCTGGTACGGTTGTAGTATTAACTTATTTTTCTTTCCAGATCATTTCTAAGAAAGTTTCATGGAACAAAAACAAGATCTTGCACAGGATCTGCATAGATACAATCAGGTTCTAATCACTCAAACTGTTATGATGAATAACAGGTTGGGCTTCTTTTATTATAAATACAATAGACAGGGAGTAATACGAAGACTTGATTATGATACTGAAAGAAGTGGTGAAATGAAGTAAATACTCGATTAGCTTTCTCGTATTTTACAGTCGGAAATAAAGTCCTTTTCTTTAAGAAAATTGATATGTAGTCGTTTTTTTTGTTGCATTTTATCACAGACGGACAGCGAAAATGTAATTAACAAAAACTATGCAGTTGCAGTCCATGGAGTAATATATATGATCCAAGATTTGGTGTCTACATCGACAAGTAATTTTGCCATGAATCAAAATTGTTGAAGAGAGGTTTCTCACGAAGACGCCCTACATGCTTTCTGTCAGTGCTGGAAAACTCATGATTTTGCATATGAATCAGTTTCGGGAAATTTTATAGCTAATTTCATAGTCCACGAAGTTGTATGAAAATGAATTTGTGCCTTCAATTGCTGATGTCGGTCTATTGTGATGCATGATATGGATTTGAACGGCAATACTTACATGGTTGCTCCCTCCAGCAGGGGGCAGAGACAATATTCTATCGACAATACATGAGTCTTTTAACAGCTCCTGATGCATTGAAGCTGCTGCCTCGTGCATGGACGAAGCTAGTACTATTTCCCACGGTTATCTCTTGTGCTTTCAACATTCGATCATGTGTGCCATCGCTTATGGCGGGATTTGTTTTTTGATAGTGTGGTCGCAATAAATTTGATCGGACATCGACCCGCTGCGATTGCCCCTGATCGATTTATCAAATCAATAACTTTTAGCTGTGAAAGACAGACGCTCTTGCATTTTTTCGCTTCAAGGACCACAAGAAAATACAAGAGCTTTAGCGATATGCGATCTGGATTAGTCCCTTTTGTAGAAAAAAACAACAGCTAGCCTCTGGTTGAGAACTCATTTGGAGCCAACCAGTGTATCTCATTTATTTTGAAAAGAAAAAATGGCCCAATGAAAATCCATGACGGTGATCAGTTCTGCGTTCTAGCAGGTCATCGCTTGGTTGCTAGATCGACCTGCTTGCTTCTGCTTGCTCGTAGATGGAAGATCAGCTAAATCATGTCGGATGCAGGGAAAAAGCAGGACTACGAGAAGAGCCGCAAGGACTCGTCTTCCGACGAGGAGGAAGACGAGGAACTGAAGGAAATTGCGCGGAAGGCGGCAGAAGCGCAGGCAGAGTTGGAGAGAAAAAAAGCGGAGAAGCGCGCTGCGAAGCGCCGGAAACTGGGTGAGGACGGCGCTGCAGCGCCAGAGGCTTCATCTGCGGCTGGTGAAAAAAGCGAAAAGTTGGGTAGCGGTGCAGCTGCTGCTGGTAGTAGCAGTAGGAGTTCCACCGGTGATGACAAACAGACTGCGGGCCAGGAAAAGACCGCACAGGCAGGGAAAAATATAGCATCGGAAAGAGATGCTACTACGGGCGCGAGAGAAAACGCAAAGGTAGATTAATCCTTCAGTTCGTGCTGTTTCTAGGAAATGAAGAAATTTGATTAATGGCTTAGCTAATTGGACATGTTTTCATTTAGATGTCTATGTCAATAAAGGTCGTTGGCGGGATTGAAGTGTCTTCGTCGAGTGCCAGCTCAAGCTGCTCTGGTGAAGCATCGGCTGCCAAACGCGACGCAGCTGCAGAGAGAGCCACCGCGAATGAGGAAATCGATGGTACACCAGCTGAGAACAAGGCTGAAAAAAAGGCTGAGGAAGCAGGCGAGAAACATGGGCCTGGGATCGATGAGAAAGTGAAATCCAAAAAGGCGCAAGACGGCGCTGATGCAGACAGCCCTTGCATCTCGCTCGACTTGATCAGCGACGCGGACGAGCCTCTTATCAAGGGCGACGATGCGACGAAGGGGGCGAAAAAGCGTAAGGTCGAATCTGGTGCGCTTGAAAGCGAAGAAAAAATCACCGAAAAGGACTCCGCAAAAAAAGTCGTCGGATCATCGTCGGAGCCGTCAGCGCCTGCTACTCCAGGGTCGAGCGGCGCGGGTGACGCTGGACCAAAGGACAAAGCGGACGTAGTCGAAGGTGATGCTGCGTTTATTGGGCCGGCGAACCGTACACCAGGCCACGCACTTGACTGCGGTAGTGCGAGTGCGTCCTCTTCTCCAAGCGCCTCCCCGAATGTGAAGGATCCTACGAGAACCGGACCGCAAGTGCGACTCCGCGTTATTCTTCCGAGTGCAGAGTGGAAGCTCGGCGAGTTTCCGGAGGGGAAAGCGCGTCTTGCTTGCTCCATCAAGAAACCGGCAGGCGGACAAGGACTTGTGTACCTGCAGGAAGTCAAACGGCATGTGCTCGTGAAGAATCAAGCCCGAAACACTTGGGTGGAATTCGCATCTGAGAAGACGTATGATATGTTTAGTCAGCTGCTGGGAATCGATCGACCCACAGATCCCAAGAAATTCTCCGTCGAATTGGACTACGTTTATTTCATGGTTGATTCCAATGGCAACAAGGTTCGCGAAGTGGTACCTCATTTCTGAGATTGATCTTGCTATATTTATAAAGCTTTTTTGTACTGGGAGCTGGAGAATACTAGATGACGGGTTTTCTTATATTGGCGAGGCTTAATTCTATGTTAGTGACATTGAGTTATTTCCTGAGTCCTGGAGTCCTGGTGAAAGTGAACCAACACAACAGCTCGAGAACGACGACTCGTGGCCAGTGGAAAGACACGGCTTTCGTGCAGTTCCTCAGCTCACGAGGCGTCGACTGTGGACGTTCCGGCCTTACAGCGACCAATATCCTGTATCCGAACCGGGAAATTTTGAGGTGGAAATATTCGATCTGATCGCGGTTCCCCACATCACGTACTGGATACCGAACGCCTCGTACAGGAACAATAACGTCTGGAATTTTGATCTTCTGCGCGCGACAGCTTTGCAACTGTTTCTGAGGGAGAAAATCTGCGCGTGGAAAAAATCCTCTGTAGCTCACCGCCTGGACAATCTCATAACGGACGTGGTGCAAGGGTGCCTCCAGAGAGACGTGCTCGCCATGCTCCGAGCGACGGACAATTCTCACCGCACCCACACTGCGACAACATCTGAGTCAGGACAGGAAATGCGCCTCATGCAGCACTTGGGCTGGAAGATGCATAGATGTAATGGTCAAACGACACAGGGCGGTTGGACTCCCTTCCGTGGAAACGGTAAGGACGCGAACCTGTTGCACGAAGCGGTGATCAATGCACTCCAGGATGAAATATCGCAGTGGTCGGCCACGGAGCTTTCGCTTCCCGGGTGCGTATTCACCATGGGTGTGCTCGTGCTCACCTCTGGGTATGGCGTTTTGTCAAACAAACAGATCAGGAATAAAGGGTTCCATGCATCGCTGCTGAAGCTGATGCGGCACCTCGACATCGAATACCTGAATGAGCACAACGACGAGTTCTTTACACCGAGGCTAACTGCGGCAAAAAAGCATTGGGAGGGGGAAAATACTGATGCATCCCCATCGTCATGCAGCTCGGGCGACGACAAGGTCGCGATCTCTGACCAGGTAGCCAAGGAGCAAAAAGACGGGTCGGCGCTTGTCTCTTCAAGTGTGTCTTCAGATCTTCAAACGAAATTGGGCTCCGAGGATCATGGCACATCGAAGAAGTGCTGGTGGTTGGAGTTGGCGCGCCAGTGTTCTGAATCCGACAAGCCGTTTTCGAAGCTCTTAGAGTGGCTGCGACAGGTGGTCTTCACGATAGGTCCAAGCAGCGACGGAGAGTATTTCTTTGCGCTCAGCTTCATGCGCATGTTGGTCGGCTACCGGCTTTGTCCGCAGGAAAACCGCAGTGAGCGCCCGATCATGGCCGAGGAAATTGCAGCCAAATTGCAACAAGTGGCTGTCCAGACTACTACCGAATCCTGGAAGTGGGCCGCAAATAAGGTCCACAAGCGCCCTGACCACTGGCTGGGTTACGGAGCGCCTTTCTTCTTCACCAGAAACGGTAAGCTCTACGAAATTACATCACTGGCAGAATGCGTGGACTGGACAGCTCCGAGTAGGTTGTTCCCGCATGATCCCTTTCTTGTGCGCATCTTCCTCTTCTTTCAGGACTGGGCCAATTTCTTCGCGGCGGCGGAAGCCAACGCTTTGCCAGTCTGGCTAGCTTTCGATTGCATGGTCATGAAATTTCGTTGTTTTCGCGCCCGATTTAACCAAACCAACCTTCTGGAACCTGCGGACGTGCCTGACGCAAAAATGGTGTTCAAAAAAGCGGCTGAATATATTCAGATCCTTATGAAGAACCCGACAGCGGAACTCATCGCAGCGCGCGTTCTCCAGGAAGAGAAAGCTGCGGCTTCGAGTACGGTCACAACGTCCGCGCAGCACTCAAGCGCAGCCAGTCGTCTTGTCGATCGGGGCTACCTGCTGTGGCAGTGCGCGGTGCTGGTTGACTGCGCGCTCCATTATATGACCAGAGTGGATACAGCGACTTTGGCGTCGGATTACGGAGGCGTTTTTTTTTGCGATGACGAAACGGCGAAGACCATGACATCAGTCGCGGCAGAGTTTATAGTTGCGGTTACCAATCTGATTGACGCGTCCAAAGGCCCGCTTGGCGTGGGCGAAGAAAAGAATAAAGCAGATGTCGATGACACTGAAGTTCCTTGCGTTCAACTAGAGACGCTTTTTTCAAGGCTTCTGACTCGCGCAACCGCGAACAGGATATGCAGCCGCCCGGTAAAGGACACTGTTGACCTTGCGTTCTGGGCGCACGCCATTTCTCTCGCAAACAACCTGCCGTGCGTGATCCACATAAAGGACTCGTCAAATACGATAACTCTCGGTGAGCGTGTGGAGAACTTGCTCATAGAAAGGCTGAAGAAGATGCAACCAAAATCTTTGATCGGAGCGTATCTGCGACAGGACTGGGCTGCAACAGCAAAAATCCCTCCCGAGGCGCTGAGTCGTTCGAAGGAGATTTGGACGACGCGAGTCGTAGAAAAGCTGACCACGCTTGTCGAAAGCGACCCCGACAGCTTGCAGGATATCTTTCTTAATGACGCAAAGTCATCAACGGACAAGAATGCCGAACGAGAAGACGCTTCGAAAAACTCCGAAAAAAGCAGCGGCAGCGCCAGTGGAGTGATCGGCTCTGCCGTGACTTCGCTCTTCTCTGCCATAATGGGTTTAGGCCGTGGTGCAGATAGTGAGACGAGCACGAATTCCGCCAACGAGAAGATGAGCAAGGTGGTGTCTGATATCGTCCTGAAAATGCTGCCTCTGGACCCTGACAATTTTGACGAGAGAGAGGACCATGAAATACGTCGCGTTGTAGAGGCTGCGCTGTCCTGTTCGATGCTTGACGCCTTTCTTCAGATGCGACGGCACATTCCTGGCGACACGGACGGAGGCAAAGTCTTAGCGCAACTCACTACGGCAGTAATGCGGTGCCACGCTGATGTAGATTCGGGCAGAATATCACTCGACATGCTCGCGTACCTCGAAAAGAATAAGGCACGCTTCGCAGCGGTGCATCTGCTCTGCACTGACCGGTCAAGCCTCTCTGCTGACGATAAAGCTGCGAGGAAGCCAGAGGCCGGCGTGGCTGATATAGCGGATGACAATCCGATGGACGTGGATATCCCCACGACACCAAAGGACAAAGCAGAAGGGACCGGCTCTGCCGAACGTCAGGACGTTGAC